AAGCATTGTTAATTCTCTGCATGTGACCTTAGTCTACTCATAAACTTTGGATACCCTTGCATTTTGACGAAATTCATGAAAATTGTATAAGAATGGGAAGAAGAATTGCAAAGTTATATTAAACTCTCTTTAAAAGTGTTTTTAATGAAACATCCTACTAGTTCCGATGTACCTCTCCCATTGGCTAGCCTCAGCGAATAATTTTTATCCGTCGTCTCCATTGGCTGCCGTGACATGCGGCATGCACGTGCGTTGTAATGACAAGCTTGACGACAACTGGATGTAATAGCCAAAGCTAAATGGCTACAGTCCAGCTGATTCAATAGGTGAATCGCAGATTGGTCCGATTGCCTACTAATTTTGGTGTTACCAACATCTGAAGTGCACATGAGAAACCTCATTGGTTCGTGCATTTGAGGATGATTACACAGCAGTTGGCCATTCTTAAGGGCATAAGCACATATGTCGCAAGCCCTTCTTATAAGGAAGATGGGAGTGCAGCCAAAACTTGACGACATAGAGGCAATGGAGCAGGATCCCCCTCCTCTGTCTGATATTAAGACAGGTTATACTCCCACAACCACAGCCACAGCAATTGATATCGCCCATGACTTCTCCCACTATGAGAATCTCGATACGCCAACTCCGATCAAGTCAGCCGACCTTATGGCCTATACTAGATTCGATCCCTGTAAGCGCTCTCTCATCTCTTTTCTATTCTATCTAAATGGTGTCTTGATGTCCCCTTTCATGCTTCAAAATGCATTCCCCTTGAATCTTTAAAATGTTTTTACTAGGTATACCTTTTACCCAGTAGCTATTGAACCTTGAATAACCTTTTTCCTGCTCAGACCCTTGTAAGATGGATGAAATTAGGAAGTACGCTTATGTCTGATGGCTTCACAAAGAAATATGCTAGCCCACAACACCAACGGAAGTGCTGTTGATCGAAATTAGGGGAATATTTTAGTTACAGTAAAGGGCTTCAATCACTACGACGAAGCACTGTCTATTGTCTGACCTTGTAGATTTTGCGTGGGCGGGCTGGCATGCGCTTCATTTTGATGTTCACCTTAGCGCGCAAAGCCTTCAAAACCCAAGTGTTTCCTATGCACACTGGCGATTGGGGTTGTTAAATTTAAGTAAAATTAGTACTCCTATTTATTTGGTTCACAGCTTGACCCTTATGTAGGGTCAAGCGCTTCATTCTAACAAAAACTAATCTGAGTTGATCAAACCTATTGACGGCATTGTTGAGGAATAAGCGAAGCGTTTGTGCGGGAGCTGTGAATTATTCAACCATAATGAGAGCTTTCTCACTTCTTGTATTTCTACATGAATTACAAGATCCGTTCGATGTGCTGGTCATCTTGTCGCTATCCGAGAACTTTACTTCCCTCTGCTCACCGTGACTTTAAAACAGTCTGACTGCTCATTAGAGGGGGCTACGCATTTAAAGTAGTCCAAATGGGTACATTCTAATAAACGAAGATCAGCAACAATGTCCTCAATGTCATAAGATGTTCACATTCGTCTTTTCAGGACATTGTATGTAAGAATGGTTCATAAAATTAAATACTTTTTTTAAAAGTAGTGCTGGAGGACAGATTAAACCAGTTTTGGTATCGGCGCTTCGTCTTTTTATTTTTGATTTTCTAGTGGTTAAGCCGTTAAACCGAGTTTCGATTAATAGGCGGGTCAAGGTCCTGATGTTAACAATCGAAGTTCTTCTCAGAAAGTGGCAGTTCCATCGATGGTGACTCCTTCCTTCATTAAAACTGTTCCAAAGATGACCTAAACTGCGACATTTTGAGACAATTAAGTTATTTGAGAATTTTCTGTCATGCAAAAGCAGCATTCTTTTTTATTGTAAGTGAGCATCATTAATGGTTATGTTCAATTGATGCCAGAGAGGTGTCGGTGGGCTACCAACTAGATTGTATTTAAACAGTGACAAAAGGGAAGAAGAGGTGCTATGCAATGTTGATGTTCCGCTAGAATGCGAATGTAAAAAATCAGATAAATGTGACAGGACGGCAGTCATATGCTACCGTTATAGAAGATTGAATGCTATATTTGAAACACCAGTCATTCCATGAATGTTTTTTTGTTATTCAAATAATTCCGAATAAGCATAATCGAATGCAAATGTGAGTTTAAACTGCCTCGGCTAATTTGGAATCGACTTGCTTAATCCCATGTATTCAAAAATGCTGCTCATGGATCCTCTGTGAATGATCGAGAAGATACCGCTCAAGTGTGGCCTCAAGTCCGCAGAGCGGAAGCATTTGGATACTTAAAGCTGAGAGAGCATTTGCATTCTATGCACCCTAACTGCGCTTTCTTCAGAGAGACAGCAGTCGTAGCGCTCTGCGATATCGAGAGACGTACCAACGCATCACATTTAGTACATCTTCTGCTATCATTTAAAGTCTTCCACATGAAATAGTAGAACACACATCTGTGTTGAGGGCGTTTCGTTTTGGCGTTGTCTTCTATTAAAAACTGGCGAAAAAATTGCCAACTGGATGATATTAGAGGTGGCACTACAGGAAAGTCAGAGCTCCTCATTCATTGTCTGACAAATAATAAATTGAGCATTCTGTATTTCTTGCAGCTTCAGAAAGGGTTTCCAAATACTGGTTGTAAAAAACGGCAAAGTGCTAGCATTCATGAATAATGCATGGATTGCATGAAAATCGTGCGGATTAATTACATCGAATAGCATGCATGATTTAGAATAAAGTTGAGCTCAAAGGCATGCTTTAACGTCTGCAAACTTCCGTCTGCAGTAGCAAAGGAAGGCTATTAAGTCACATGAAAACTTGGAGACAAACTACTCCACACGACTTCTCATTGCATGAGAGATGTGATTTGGTCTTCAACTTAAAAATGCACGCTTGCAGACTCCACTTCCCACAAACAATGCTTACTGCAGACACTGAGTTCAAAATCTACTATATTCTGCAAAACAATAGGATAAAATGAAAAGTTTTGCACCATGTTTCCATTTTAATAAGCAGCTACTGTCTCAATGAATGCCAAATGGACGCTAAGTGACTCGAAAGTTATGAGCGACAGACTCTACCTCGTTTTAACCATCCTGCATTGCAATGTTTTGATGCAAAAGTTCTATACAAGGGGCGTTTTGATTTACCTTCCTATTTTGTTCATATACCTCCAACATTGCATACATTTGAATAGTAGTTAGTTCTAACGTAAATAATCACTAACGCTGTTTAGGTTAACTATCTGTTCCACACTCCTTTTTGACTATTTTAAATGCATGTCAACCTACCCATTTTATTGAAGTGACAACTTGATAAGTCACAAGATCGTTGACGCATTTCACTATCCGCCTTCCTTCAAAGGCAAATCAACAACTTCATTACCGATTGCGTGTAAGAAATCAGCAAGTGATGTGGGTTAATTCGGCGCAGATACTCCAATTTGCTGGATTGTGCAAAGCGAAAGCACGAAAAGGAGGTTGAGCACGGTATACCAAAGACATAATTTGGGAGGTCTCCTTTGGTAAAAAGATGATCAAAACCCAATTGAGATCCTTCATTCCTTGGTCAACTGTACTTTACACTCAGCCGGCGCTAATGTGTGAGATAGCAGTCTCCTGACTTCCACGTCCATCTACGGCATCTCTTCCTGATGTACTTGTCACAGTCACTTGCCAATATTCCAAATGTTTGTACTGGTTATCGTCTCTAAAATTACCTCACTAAACTCAAAGTAAGGCTATACGTTGATTGCTAGTCTCAAAGATTGCACAGAAGTGAGTGGTCACTTATTTTTTATTGGCGAGATGCTGTTTTTATTGACATTTTCATGGCAGCCTGCATTCATTGACGTCTACGCATTAAC